TGGGAGTACAATGGCTATTCACAGGCGTGATCCTAGCACTTTTCAGCCTCCAACTCCTGGGCTCAAGCGAGCCTCCTGCCTCAGTTTCCCACATAGATGGGAATACGGGAGTGAAACCACCATGCCCAGCTAATCTTAGCCTCTCTGAGCCTCAGTTTTCACACCTGTAATGTGGAGATGGTTACAGCACCTACTTCAAAGAGTTGTTGAGGGTCTTAAATGAAACCACGCACACAAAAGGTTCCGGACAAGCCTCTTTAAGCAGCTGTGATGAGGAGGAGGAGGAAGAGGATGATAGGGACAATTATGATGTTTTTTTCCTTTTTTTTCTTTTTCTTTTGAGATGACATCTCACTCTGTTCCCCAGGCTGCTGGAGTGCAATGGCGCAATCTCAGCTCACTGCAACCTCCACCCCTACTGGGTTCCAGCAATTCTCCTGCCTCAGTCTCCCAAGTAGCTGGGATTACTAGTGGATGGCACCTGCCACCACACCCAGCTAATTTTGTGTGTGTGATTTTACTAGAGACGGGGTTTCGCCATGTTGGCCAGGATGGTGTTGAACTCCTGACCTCAGGTGATCCACCCACCTCGGCCTCCCAAAGTGCTGGGATGACAGGTGTGAGCCACCACGCCCGGCTAATGGTGGGGATTTCAATTCACCTCCACCCTTATCTTTGGGTTCTCCTGCAGGCTGGAGTCTAAACCCGTTTCAATTTTACACTGACAAAGCATTCTACCAAACACCATCTCACAGAAACCTCACAACAGCTGTGAGGTTTGAGCCGTGTGAGGTCAGGAGGGAGGAAATTCTCAGTGTCTTCACTCTACAGATGAGCAAACTGCAGCTCCGGGGAGGGAGTGGTGAGTGACACTCCTCAGGCCGCACAGCGAGACGGCAGTAGAGCGGGGACAAAACCCAGTTCTTCTCTCTGCCTTGCGGCCCCTTTTTACTGAGCTTCCCAGGAGGGGAGACAGAGGAGTCTGTGGCCTGTGGGGAGTCGGATTTTCTGGAACACCATGGTCCTGGCTTAGGAATCTACATCTCCACTTGTAGCTGAGATGAGTCCTGGCCCTTCCTTCTCAGAGTGAATCCGGGCACTCTCAGCTGAATGGAGCCACCAGTGGTCTGTGGGCCTGGCCCTGCCGTGCTGCCCTGCTCAGCCTGGACCTGGGCAGGGTTTGTGGGACACAGCTTCAGGTGTCACCCTAATACCTCTGTGGGGTGCATGTCTTGGGGACACAAACGAAGACAAAGGCAGAGAGCAAGGCTGTGGGAGGGCATGTTGGAGAGAGAGGAGCATATGCCCTGTCAACACCGCAGAGACCCAGCCTCACCCGGGGCCACCCCACGTGGCAGAAAGGAGGTTGACTGCAAAAGCAGGTTCAGTCATTGTGCAGCATATTGATCAGACTCGGTCTTTGCAATGCTCTTGGTCCCCCAGCCCTCTAAACCCGGTGAGAAAAGTCTCGAGGGCCCTGGTGGCCAAGGGCTGTGCACTTCGGTGAGCCAGGCCTGACGCCGCAGGCCTCCCCTGATGCTGAGATTCCGCAGCACCTTCCTGCAGCTGCCCACAGTGGGGCCTCCTCCCCACTACCTTTCAGGGGAGTTAGAACTATTTAGAGACAAGAAAACTGAGGCTCAGCAGTATGAGGACACTTGCCCAGTGTCTCACAGCTTAAAGAGTAGCAGATTTTCTTTCTCTTCTCTTCTCTTTTCTTTTCTTTTGTGATGGAGTCTTGCTTTGTCACCCAGGCTGGAATGCAGTGGCAAGATCTTGGCTCGCTGCAACTTCCGCCTCCCAGGTTCAAGCGATTCTCCCGCCTCAGCCTCCTGTTACAGGTGCCCGCCACCACACCTGGCTAATTTTTGTATTTTTAGTAAAGATGGGGTTTCACCATGTCGGCCAGGCTGGTCTCGAACTCCTGACCTCAGGTAATCTGGCCACCTCAGTCTCCCAGAGTGCTGAGATTCCAGGCGTGAGCCACCGCGCCCGGCCTGAGAGCAATAGGTTTTCATCTGTGCAAAGCTTAACTGCTTTCCATCCTGGGCAGCTGAGAGAGTAACAGTGTGATACTTCATTTTCTAGGTCAACTTGACTAGGCCACAAGGTGCCCAGATATTTGTCCACACATTAATCCGGACATATTTGTGAGGTGTTTGGGATGAGGTTGATATTTGTATTGAGCAGAACAGAGTCCTCCCCGGTGTGGCTGGGCCTCATCCAATCCACCGAACACCCGAATCAACAAAAAGGTAGAATAAGAGGAAGCTCCTCTTGCCTGACTCCTTCGGTGCGGGCTGGGATGCTGGCCTCCTCCAGCCTCTGGGCTCGGACTAAAACACTGGCCCTTCTTGAGCCTCGAGTCCACTGGCTTTGGAGCTGGAATTTACATCGCTGGCTCTCCTAGCTCTCAGGCCTTTGGACTTGGACTGGAACTAATATTGGCTGTCCTGGGTCTCCAGCAATTGACTGCAGGGATTAGAACCTCTAAGCCTCCATAATCACCTGCATCAATTCCTTCTAATACATTTCTTCGTATGTAGATGATATAGATATAAACACACACACCCTATTGGTTTTGTTTCTCTAGAGAACACTGACGAACACAAAGACTCAACCCTGGGCTTCCCGTTGGCTGCAAGTTTGGGCGTGGAAGGCTCAGCGACGAGGCCGTGCCAGAAGCCGGATATCTGAATATCTAGAACAATTGTCTGATTTGGTCCAGAAGTCCTCCCTGTTCCCAAGGCCCCAGCAGGAAGCCTGGTAGGGGAGGGGACCTGTTTGGCCAAATAAGCACAGCCAAGTCGCAGAAACCTGGGTCTTTTATTAGCAGTATTTTAAACCAAAACACCCCCAACCAAGCACTCAGGAAGCGGCGTCAGTGGCCTCCAGGCACCCTGTGTAAACAGCAATACTTGCAGAGTCCACTAGGTGGGGCCAGTGACCCAGCGGAAAGCGCAGACACGCTGCCCCAGGAGGGAAGGCAGGTGCCAGGGAGAGGACCTGTGCCGGGACCATCCCCAAGCTGGACACGTGCTCCCCACCTCTGCCTTGTGTGGCTTCCAGCCGACAGTGTAAACATCAAACCTGAGAACCACAAGCACTTTAGGGGGTGGTCACTCCAGCATCTCTGGATATCAGGGTCCTCAAGCCAAGTGGGTCCCTCGTGAGCCACCAAGCAAGATGCACAGCCACTAAGTCAAGTTCTGTCCCAAAGCCGCAGAGCGCCAGGCGGGGGCATCTGTGCGTGACGCCCATGATCTGTCTCCCGAGAGAAGGCACCTGCCAGCACCAAGGAATCGGAAAATCGACAGACACAGACGCCAGCCGTGGTGGTCACGTGACGAGGACATGGCACGGGGACAGGGAGCAAAGAGGGAGGCGGCGCGAGGACAGGCAGTGGCAAAGACCCTGGCCCCACACCGGGATCCCACAGCATCTTCCTGCAGCTTCTCACCGTGGGGTGGGAGCCAAGTCCCCAGGGTGGGGCTCTGAGCCCTGCTGTGGTCTGAGAGCTGAAGGCAGAGATGGGAGCAAGTCTTCTTCTTGCTCTCCCCTGGTTGGCCCCCGTTCACATCCCTAAACACCTGCTCTGCCTCCTTGGGTTACTATTTGTACCCTGAGCCCAATGCCTCCAAAGGACCAGGGCAAGAAACCTGCCCCTGCAGGTCCGAGATGCTCGTCTCTAAACCATTCCCTGTCTTAGGGCAGGGCAAAAACACCCCAGAATGTCAGCTGTGGGGGGCCCAACACCGACCAACCCCCTCGCGGGCCCCTCTGCCTCCCACCTGCCTGCCCCCTGCCAGCCCTTCCCAAACGTGCATGGCTGGGCTGCCTCGAAACTCTGCCTCGGCCTCTGTTGCCACGGCAACAATGTGGCTTCCCCCAAGTGGGAAGCCCGTTGCCAAGGCCCCTGTTGCCAAAGGCTATAACAGCCACCCCGGTGTGTGAAGAGGGGGTGAGAGCTCCGTGGGGGGTGGAGGGTGGCCAGGGAGGCTGGCGAGGGAAGGAGTAGGGGGGTTCTCAAGAATGGGAGCGTTCAGGTAGCCTCAGCTGGAGTAGGGGGCACTAGCCCCTGGAGGAGGAAGAGGCAGCCCGTGGCATCTCAGCGATTACTCCTCTGGGGACGTCGGAAGGCAGAACAGAGACTCCCTGACAAAACGTGCCTGGATGAGCCTCATCAAGCAAGGATGGGGCACTCCCACCGCCCCCTGCAACACACACCCCTGACCAGAGGACCCGCTTGGATTCTCCCCAGCTTCAGGCAAACAACCCCCTAGAATCTGTTTTGCTCGTTCATGTGTCTCTGATGCGCACACACAAGCTGCACCCAGACAGCGTCAGTCCCTGTCGCCAGGAACACGTTAATGACAAGGACTGCAAACCCTCCACAGTTTCTATCCCTGGCCTGTCTCAGAGCACATACTTAATATTCCTTCTACAACGCTTCTCTCCGGAGCAGAGCTCTCGTCTCTGTCAACAAGGAGAGGTGGACGCCATCAGAGCTGATTCCCTTCCAAAGTGAACAGAGGAGGGCTGGAGGGGCAGCTCATTGCACCCACAGGGAGCGCCAGGCCCAGGCTGGCTTTGCAGGGGCAGCATCCGAATACCTGGAGCCCACGGGCCACGCATGTAGCCACTGCCCAGCCTGGGTGCAGAGGGGAGGAGAGCCTAGTTCTCTCCTGGGTCCTCTTGAGGAAAGGGGCTAACAGGGGAAAGCTGAAAGAGGCAGAGAGGGGTCTGGGAGGCCTAGGGAGCAGATGGCTACTAGGGGGTAAGAGACAGGGGTGGCAGCATTGGCAAAGCACGTGGGGAGGGGAGCCTGAGCCTGAGAGGGGCCCAGGGCCAGGACGAGATGACAAGGCACCAAGAACGGCCAGGTCCAAATGTCTCCAGTCCCAATCTCTCGAGACCAACCCAAGCAGGGCCTGGCCCACGACGCCCAGGGCTTCCCGTCACCCCTCCCCAAACACAGAAGGAAAAGCCGGTGTACCTACCCCAGGAGCCAGCCCCTCAGGTGGAGTCGGGGAGACGCCATCCCCCCCGCCCTGGCTGCGGGCGCTGAGCTGCGGGGACATGGTGGGCGACTCGTCGATGTACGGCATGGTCTCTGAGCCCTCCGGGGGCCCCTTCTGCTCCTCATTCCCCTCTCCGTCGTACTCGTCTGTCCCGTAGCTGAAGTCTGAGACAAGGAACAAGAAAGGCCACTGAGAATCCTCCACCAGAGCTGCCAGGGACTGGTAGCGCAGTGGGCGCCGGCGGCGGCCCCCGGCTGCCATGGCCCCGGCCGCACCATCCACGCCTGGCCCAGACGGGGGCTGTGAGGGGCCTGGGCCTGGTGAGGGGCCGGGGAGAACCAGCAGGCACTAGGCTCTGCACGCTCCGGGGCTGCTGGGAGGCGGGGAGGAGCGGCTCTGCTGTTGCTACCCGTTGAAGAGCATGTCAGCCGCGTATTTCAAGCTGCTGTTTTCTTTGCCTTCTGCCTAATTCCAAGTGTAAAAATTAACAGTGGGAGCAGGAGGCAGGACGCTTCCAACTCTCCTCTCTGAGTCACCATTTTGCTTTTTATAGGGAATAAGGAGGTGGGGGGGGCCGGGCGATGTCACTTCCTGTGGCCCTCCTCCTTGGGTACCATTTGTACTGAGCCCACTCCCTCCAGGGGGCCAGGGCAGGTTCTGGGGTGTGGGAGGGGAGCCCTCAGTCCGCAGAACAAGGCTCTGCATGGAGGACGGAACCCAAGGCAGCAGGGCGTGGGCGAGGAGGCTTTGCCCAGGCCTGGCAGGGACAGGGGCTCACAGCAGACTCCTTGGAGCCGGCACTTATTTCTATCACCCCAACACGGGCTTCCTTCAGAGGAGGAGGGAAGAAAAGGCGACCGGGAAGTTCAGCCCCGTTAACCCCCCAGGGCTGCCAGCATCACACGGGCTCCAGAGTCCAGGCACGGAGCCCACCCACCCTGGGACGGGAGGCTGAGCCCGTGCAGCGAGGCGGGTGTGCAGGGCAGCAGCTCAGGGCTTCACACTTTCCGAAAGGGTTACGAGGGTGGCCTCGGAAAGGCCCCTGCGTCCAGCCCCACCAGCAAGGCTGCAGGAGGGACCCTCCCACAAACCGGCCCCTGCCCGTTGGCCTGTTTGCTTCCCCAGCCCTGACCCGCCACAACCGGGAATGGAGAACGCGACAGTGTTGCTTCCAGGGGCCGTGGTGGACCTCCTTGGGCTGGGATCGCCAGCGGGGGGATGGACACCCCTGTCACACTCGGACAGGGGTAAGACTCAGCACTCGTGCAGGCCAGTGGGAGCTGGCACCACAGTGTGTCCTGGAGACACGAACATCACCGTGCCGGCAGCCTTGGGGCCAGCAGGAGCTTCCTACACACTGGACTGCCCAGTGGTGGCATCTGCTTGCTAAACACTCCCCAGGTATCTTCCAGGCGTGACTCCCTGGCCAGGCATCTTCGAATCTTGTGCAGTGTGATGGGGGAGGCTGGCTGAGCCTGCCCTGCCATCTGCCCAGACATCCTTTCCTCCAGGTCGCCCTCCCTATGGCACCTGGCCCCCTGGCACCTTAGTGAATCCTGCCCCTTTGTCCTTGAGCCCCTGGGGTAGGAGGTGGGCGTCTCAGTCATCACTGTGCGCCAGCATCCACGACCCCACCTGTGGCAGCTCTCGGGAAAGTGTGTGCAGCGAATGAATGGGCAGAGGATCGCACCATCTGTCTCAGGTCTGAGGCTTCAGCCAAGTCCCAGCCAGCCAAGTTCTCCACGGGGGCCCCAGCTCCTCCCTCTGCTGTCACAACACCCCAGCCCACAGGCAACCAGCAGCCGGAGAATGGTGTCAACAGGTCACCAGGATGCCTGGCCACAGCCATGCTCTGCCCAATCTGGCCTTTTGGCAGCCGAGCGCTTCCCCCAGGCTCGCTGCACCTGCTTCTGTCGGCTGCCTCTCCTCGTCCCTGAGCCAATGCCCCATTCAGCTGCCAGGGGACATGGACTAGTTTTTTTCCCTAGAGAGGCTTGTGTATGAAGAATCACAGGACCCAGAGATGCCTACTAGTGAGATGTGTGTACGCCACACACCTGGGCAGGACCCAGGACGCCCTCCCACTGAGATGTGTGTACACCACACACCTGGGACATAAGGCCCGGTGCCCTGGAGGCCATGACACCTGTGTCTGTGGCTGGCGGGATGTGAACTGACTCTGGTCCTTCCAGGGGGAGGAGGAAGCTGAGTACACAGCACCACCCAGCTGGCCTGAGTCTGGCTCCGAGAGGGGTCTGGCCGTTTGGTGAGACCCCCTCACTCTGGAGAAGCACAGGAGGGGATGGAGGGCAGCCTCCCACCGGCCCCTCCCTCCTGCCTCCTCCTCTCCAGAAGGCTCCAGGCTGCCCGGTTAGTGCCTGGAGTTAAGGACAAGGAAAATAAGGAATAGTAGACCCCGGCCTTGCCCACAGTTTAGATTCCAGCCGACCAAGCAGACTCTTCTGTACGCTGACCGGTTCCCAGGGGTCGCAGGAATGGAACCCACACACTTGGGAGATCGTCCAAGAGCACGGGGGGAAGGGACGGCAGGGAAGGCGGCTGAAAGTCTCTCTGCCCGTCTCCCCATAGGCACAGTCCCTCCTGATCAGAGCAGAGGACCCCTGGCCCTGCTATCTCCTGCTCCTTCCAGCCTGGATGTTTCGCGGGGAGGCAGTTCTTTCTTTCCCCCATTTACATACAATTGCTGAAGGTCACAGGATCTGAATCCAGGTCTCAAATGCCCTCCCTTTCCCTCTGAATCTCACTCCAGAGAAGTCCTCTTCCATATCCCTCCTCGTTAAGGGGGGCTGACCATGGAGCTGAACACGGGGGGCCTGAGGACGGGGTCTGGCCGGGGGGAGGCCCAGGGGCAGCAAAAGTGCTTGGTCTGCGAACATTTCCAGGGCCTTCCCCTTTCATTTCTGCCCCCACAAAACCGTAAGAGCCCAGGAGACTCCAACCAGGAAAAGGGGTACAGAAAAGATGGGGAAACCAATCCTCAGAGAAGGCAGGAGCCCTGGGGGAGGAAGATGGGGACCTAACTGAGCACAGGCTTCAGTCTCCAACGGCCACAGGTGGGTATGCTGAGCAGACAGTGGCTTGCGCACCAGATCTCAAAAAAGAAGAAAAGGCAGACAAGGCTGCTGGCAGCCAATACCATTTCCCCGCCGACTAACAGAGATCCTAATGTATTCAGAGTGGCAGTGCACCCAGCGGCTAGTTCAAAGACACCCTTCCTGATGGTGTGAGCCATGTGATTACGTTCTGGCCCACGAGATGTTACATGGATACCTGTGGAACTTGGAGGAAGCTGCTGAAAGAGACTGATTTAGCCAAAAGGTACACTACGCACGCTGCCCTTGTTCCTCCTTCTGTTGCTGGTTTGGAGAGTTGATGGGATGGCTGGAGCCCCAGCAGCCATCCTGAACCATGAGGTGAGCTGAGGATAGAAGTCAGCACTGAAGATGGCTAAGCAGAAAGCTGGGAGTCCAGGTCACTGATGGCACAGTGGAGCCCACCCCAGGATGGTCTACCTCTGAACGTTTTTACAGAAAAGAAAGAAAAAATGCCAATGCTATTTAAGCCTCTGTTACTTCGTTTTTCTATTATCCGAAGTCAAACCTAAGGTGATTTTTCCCTGACAACCCCACTTTGGTGCTTTTCCTGTGACTGTCACTGTTCCTTCTCAGGCTCCTTGGCGAAATCTTCTTTCTCTACCTATCCCTTAAAAATTGCTGTTCCCGGCCGGGCGCGGTGGCTCATGCCTGTAATCCCAGCACTTTGAGAGGCCGAGGAGGGCGGATCACAAGGCCAGGAGATCGAGACCATCCTGGCTAACGCGGTGAAACCCCGTCTCTGCTAAAAATACAAAAAATTAACCGGGCGTGGTGACGGGCACCTGTAGTCCCAGCTACTCGGGAGGCTGAGGCAGGAGAATGGCATGAACCCGGGAGGCGGAGCTTGCAGTGAGCTGAGATCCAGCCACCACACTCCAGCCTGAGTGACAGAGCGAGACTCCGTCTCAAAAAAAAAAAAAAAAAATTTGCTGTTCCCATGGAGGGGAACATCATACACTGGGGCCTGTTGGAGGGTGGGGGGCAAGGGGAGGGAGAGAATTAGGACAAATACCTAATGCATGCGGGGCTTAAAACCTAGATGATGACACCCCACAAGGTATGCCCAGACTCTAATTCCTGGGACCTGGGAACGTGACCTTATTTGGAAAAAAATTCTTTGTAGATGTGATTAAATTAAGGATCTCAAGATGAGATAGATCATCACCGATTAACCAGTGGGTCCTAAATCCAATGCTGTGTCCCTATGGAAAGAGAAAGGGGCAGACACAGACAGAGGAGACGACAGAGACAGGGTTTGGAGCGGGGCTGCCACCAACCAAGGAATGCCTGGAGCCACCAGACACTGGGAGAGGGAGTGAGAACTCTGCCCCGGCAGCCTGGGGAGGGGCCGCCGCCTGCCTGGCTGGGACTTTGATTTCAGATTTCTGGTCTTCAGACTGCGAGAACATCAATTTCTGTTGTTTTAAGCCATCAAGTTCATGGCACTCTCTAATGGCAGCACTAAGACACCAATGCAGTGCCTGACACGCACACAGCTCCCCTCTCTTTGCACATGCTGCTCCTGTGCCTAGAAAACCCTCCTTGCTGGGCACGGCGGCTCACGCCTGTCATCCCAGCACTATGATGTGGGGTATCCTCCGAGGCAGGAGGATCACGTGAGGCCAGGAGTTGGAAACCAGCCTGGCCACACAGGGAGATCCTGTGTCTATGAACACACACACACACACACACACACACACACACACACACATCCCTCCTTACCCCTTGTCCACCTGATGAAATCCTGTTTTGCCCTCAAATCTGCCTCATCTGTGCCCTCTCTTAGGAACTTTCCTATGTTCTGCATATTACGACAATACTTGAACACTGAAAGCACTTTTTTTTTTTTTTTGAGATAGTCTCACTGTCACCCAGGCTGGAGTGCAGTGGCGCGATCTCAGCTCACTGCAACCTCCGCCTGCCAGGTTCAAGCCATTTTCCCATCTCAGCTTCCCGAATAGCTGGGATTACAGGCATGTACCACCACGCCCGGCTAATTTTTGTATTTTTAGTAGAGACAGGATTTCTCCACGTTGGTCAGGCTGGTC